TTTTATTGTTTTACAGGACAATGAAATACAAAGGTGATGATTTAGAAGAAAGCTGTTTGAAATGCAAACGGAATTAAGTTAATAGAATCAACGTATTGCAGCTTAAGATCATACTGGTATTTTTATGTCATAAAAGTTTTAAATTTTGAATTGAGTTGAGTAGATTAAATTTAGCTCGCTCAGTGGCACGTGACCTTCTTCTTCTTCTCCCTGCCTATTTCCCAATCACTTGGGGTCAGCGCAGTACATCTTCTGTACTGCTGATAGGATTTGGCAAAAGTTTTACGACCGGCCGCCTGCCTGACGTCAATGGGAATTGATGCCACGTGACCATATGAGATGAAGGGGATAGAGAAGCAGGGCACATGAGGGATAAGAGTGTTGTATTTATGTCCCGTTATATCAAAACTTACAAAAGACTAAAGATTGGGTAATTCAGTGTTTCATACTAAAATCCATGACCTAAAAATTTGTCAATGTTTGAAATTATAATATATTTTTCGTTACACCAAACAGTTGTATCACTTAAGATCATCGCAATGCATCGACTGAATTATGATAGTCAGACAAGACAGCTATATATAGGAACAAAAGCTTCAACACTCAAGGCTCAGGTCAACTTAGTTACAGTTATTAGACGGGTTATGGAGTGCATTATATGGACACTCCCGTAATGCATTCTCGATGACGTGTTTACGACAATACACTTTGTGTTTGTGAGTTTCGAATGTATTTTTCTTGTAAAGGAAAGTTTTTTATGTTTTTATTTATATTATATGAGAAATAATCTATGATTTTAGAATAGTTACACAATATACATATTCAGTTGATTAATGGTATCCATACATCCATACATACATAGCTCAAAAAAAAGTATTTGTCCGACTGTTTATTGCCTTGTACCTATTTATTATATGGAGCGGCTATCGATTTTAACAGGATTTCTATTGGTGGTAAAAAAATAACTGCTCAGTAGAATTTGATGAGACTTTTATTGATTAGTTAACTCTTTTACCGTAAAAACTGCTCCCCTATGATGTTCACCATTCGAACTTACTAAATATTTTAAACGTCGTCTCACTAAATATTATCTGTCTTGTTAGTTATTGAGTGTATATGTATATACTATGTATGTATGTATATATATACACACACATATATATATATATATATATATATATAGTTAATTGTACCGTCCCGTCTACGATTCCACTAATCCTTTCACCAAAGGTTGTCTGTAAGAGGTTGCTCATAGCAATAAGACCGCCTTTGCATGTCTCTTTGTTATTTTTTTTTTGCTTTTCATCTTCTGTACTCTTCTTTTGTGTGTGCAATAAAGTATTTATCTATCTAGTTAAGAATTTATTTGATTGAAATGTATAATTAATTACTATCCTAGGAAAAATACAATGTTCCCTATATAATATATTTTGCAATAGTCTAATCTGCAAAGTTAAAATATAATATACTTGCTTCCCAATACAAACTTTCATCCCCATTTAACCCCCTTAAGAGATGATTTCCGGGACAAAAAGCATCCTATCTCCTTCCCAGGGTCTCAATCTATCTTCTTACCAAACAAATTTCATCTAAATCGGTTCAGTAGATCCAGAGATTACTCTCTACAACGCTACAAACTCACAAACTTACAAACTCGCAAACTTTACCTCTTTACAATATTTGTATAGATAAAGCTGTTGTGGATCCTGGCTGACTTAGCATGGCCCTTTAATTGAAGAATTGAATTTTAACAGTGTATAATGATAGTATGATAATGAACCAAAATCCACCCGAATAGGAATGCCTCAGTTAAGCTCAAGCCTCAAGCTTATGAAAACTACTTAAATTTACATCAGGGGTTAAAAACTTTATATTTTTATAGTACTAAATTTCTGTTTGTGGATTATTTTTAGACGTTCCCAAACACTATTACCATACAAAAACATTCTTTTCGCTTTAATTAAGGTGTAGAATATGATTAAGTATTAAATAGATAAACAATGCAACTACTGATTTTATATAACTGTCCTACATACATATATTCTAGATCATTCAAATTAAAGTACGTGTTGGGATTCTTCTAGTGCTTTGTAAATATCGTTGAATGTTACAAATCTCAAGACAGTAGAAATGCTGCTTTGCTAATAAAATATTATGTACTTCTAACGCTACCTATCTTTTCTCTGTTGGCTACTTTAGATGGAAGCAGATTATGCTATCCTAGGTTCGATTCCAAGTCGCGAGATAAATTATTGATTCTTGAGTTTAAAATTTTTGCTCGAAATTACGAATGTGGCAATACCCTATGGCTATGTCTTAGAAAGCAATTAACTATCTATCTTTTACATTAATAATGAAATCTAATGATTTTCTGTAAGAAAAATCTAGTGATATTCTGTAAGAAAATATAACTCAAATAATAATGAAATCTAATGATGAAATCTAATGATTTTCTGTAAGAAAATATAACTCAAGAACAAAATTCACACAATATATTCATAATATATTTTATAATTCTAATAGCTTGCGCTATGAGAGTTAATCACTACAGTGTGAACTTGTATTTAGGCTTCACGACCGCGGACACGTCGGCGTGTCAGTAAACAATAGATTTCTTAGAATTTCAATTAATTTCTTTGAAATTTATAAAACCTGGAGGTGTTATGTACGGCTTTGTTGTGAACTCAATATTTTTTACAATGTCAGAATCTATAGTAGATTAATTTAATTTAGGGAGATTATACGGACTGTCTCTGAACACAGTAAATATTGAATTAAATAAATGAGCCAATTGCAATGGCTTTTATAATCATTAATCATATTAAAATAGCGATATTCTCAAAAAAAAAATTGTAATGATCTGTGCATGTGACATATAGAAAATATAATCTTTTAATCAACAATAAATCTACAATTTAAATAAAACTATCTTTTCGGATTTTTTCGCGAAATTATTTTGATTTTTGGTTCCCGACGTTTCGAATGCTTTACAGCAATCTTGGTCACGGGAGAGACTAAACATGATTGCTGTATTTAAAATGTCAAATATTTGCGTAAATCTAAGAAAGTATTAATAAATCTATAAAGTAAGAATTTATATAAGTATAGGATTTATATAGTTTTATTTATACTTAACTATTTACAATTTGGTTAACTCTAGCCAGTAGCCTATATGTATGGCTGACCTTATCAAGGATTTATAAAAATTAGTTTTAAAGTAATATCCAATTTTTAAGAAAAGTTAACTTCTTTAGAGTTGAAATTAATTTAGAACCTGATGTAGGACGCCCCATTGAAAAGATACTTCGGCAGATATTTTAATAATTATGGTATGTATCAAGCATACTCGTAGATTAAAAACTTCTATCTATCTATTGACCTATTATATTATATAAATCTATGTACCTTGTAACTACTAGTTTGTAAAACGACTAGCATTTTTCTATATTAAATACATATATCCCGATAGAAGCACAGAAGTATATCTAAAAGAATTTATTCTCAATCTATACTAATATTATAAAGAGGTAAAGTTTGTGAGTTTGTGACGTTGTAGGCGGTAATTACTGGATCTACTGAACCGATTTAGATTAAATTTGGTAAAAAGATGCTTTAAAATCCTGAAAAGGACATAGAATACTTTTTATCCCGGAAATCATCCCTTAAGGGGGTGAAAATGGGGATGAAAGTTTGTATTGAAAAGCAAGCTTGGGACGAACCCGAGCGGAACGAGGCTGAGTCGCTGATATATTTATATACACACATATTATATGTATCTATGTACCTATTATTAATTTTTTTTATTAAGTCGAAATAGAGGTTTGATTTTCAGTTATCCTACCTTTTGGTTGTATAATGTATATATAAAAATATATGAGCAACATTTTTCCTTTTCCTTCTTTTTTTTATTAGTGTATTTAGTACATAAACAACATAATTATATAACTTACTTGCACCGTAGTTAGTGTGCTATTTATGGTATTCAAAAATGACATACTTAATAAAACATCTATTTATTTAGCGCTTATTTTACGTCCCACTGCTGAGTACGGCTTTGTGGACTTCGCATATCTTTCGAAAACTTGCTAGGTACTCTCGGAATTACAGGTTTCCTCACGATGTTTTCCTTCACCGTAAGGCAAGTGGTAATCATGTTGGACACGAAAATATCAGAGGTGCGAGCCCAAACCTGCTTCACTCGGTTTCCCAAGCAAGCGTTTTACCACTGGGCTACCACTGCCTTCATAAAACATCTATTTCTCTATAATAAAATTTCCCTGAAGTAATACATAAAGTAAACAATAGAGATCAGCCTTGACAATGCCCCTTTGAATAATATTCCTCGAACCCAAGGATTTCCGTGAAAAGTAACGATTATTATACAATTAATGCAACATGCACTCGAATGCCCAGGTGGTTTTTATAGATTATTTTCATTACAGCCTTGTTAAGCTTTATACTTCAAGCATAGTGTAGTTATAACAGAGGTAGCAACACATCGTGTACCAAAACTACTGTGTATTTACAAAGCACATGCTTTTGACCGAATAGACGTGGCTCTTATTAACTAATAATATTCTTATTCAATAGAAATTATTTTTCTTATTTACCTTTATAAAATGTATGTTTTATATTACATAGCTATGATATTATACTTTTCTACTAAATCGCCAAGCCTAGCTTTCGTAGAAATGAATGTCTACCTGCAGCCTTAATCAAGACGATATTCTACAATCGTTATCGCTAATAGAAACGTAAAAAGCTATGCATTTGCATATACTTTTATAAATATGCATTTCCATATAGTTTTGTGTTTTCTATTAGCCATATTGTTTGTAGAAAACCAACATATCTGTCTGAATTAATAAATTTTGACTCTGAAATATAGACAACACATATTAAATAAACAAAAATAGTGTCATTTAAGCGTTTAAAGTGTAAAAAATCTAACTACAATCTACGAGTATCTACAAAGTAGCCAAGTGCATCGGTGCCCATACCTCCGCGCTGGCTTCGCCATCCATTCACTTTCTGTATAAGGTTCGATGCCTTGCTACCTCTATTGTTAATTCTCTGTTCTGTGGATTAAATAGATTAATTTAACTATTTAATAGTAATTGAAATTTATTTAATAATAACTATTTAATAATATTTAAAAATAATTGAAATTAATATATAATTGTAAAATTACGCTAAATAATAGACGCTAATGAATGAAAATTCATGTTTTCTTAACTTACTCTAATTAATAATATAGATCTATCTATATAGATTCATCCTAATTGCGATTTAAAAAAACTAATGACACTAACCTTTCCTTTAGACATAACTAAATTTGTTCTTATTGTCCTCATATAACTATTATAAACCAAAATATATATCTTAAAATGTAACTAAATATCGTGACGTCATATAAAAAGAAAATAAAAATCTAGTCATAGTTCCCAAGTTATTAGCGCACTAAGAGATAGAATAAGTGAGTACAAAATTGTATTTGTATTAAATCCAAGAATGTATCTTAATACTATTTATGAGATATTAGTAAGATATTTTATAACTAGCAGAACCCGCGGCTTCGCTCGCGCTAAAAATACAAGAAAACCCTAAAAAGATAGTTTCATACAAACTTTCATCACCTATTTTACCCCCTTATGGGATGAATTTGATGAATTTGGAAAAATGGTTAAACACGTATTTATTTAATTTTGTTGAAGAGCATTAATACCAAGTTTTAAGTAATTCTGATCATAAATATTTTTTGGATCGAATTATAACGTGTTTTCTTGTGGGAATCAGATAATCTCCCACGGTAAAAAGTAGCCTATCTCACTCTCCAGCCCTCCAACTATTTTCACACAAAAATCACGCCAATCCGTCACTCCGTTTCGACGTGAAAGAAGGTTAAACAAACAAACAAATAAACACATTTTCACATTTATAATATTAGTATGGATACGTATACGTTAAGTGTGACATGTATAAAACCCCTAATCCTTTTTTACCAAATCGTCAAGCATAGGTTTCGTTTCCACATCTGCGGACTGGGGTATGATAATATTCTAAAATCGCTATCACTAATATAAAACTAATAAAGCAAATGATATAAATCCTGTGAAAAAATGTAAAATGATTGTTAATTAATTGCATACTATTTCTTTTTAGGTTTTATATTAGTCATACTAGTATTGCCTGCGGCTCCGCCCGCGTTCAGATGACCAAAAACCAAATTCTTAGTTTTTACATATTAGTATACTCTTACATTGCATTTTTTGTATTGTCTCTCAGAAATGAGATATTTTCCCGTAGTAAAAAGTATCCTATATGTTGACCCGGATAATCAGCCATCGCCATGCCAAATTTCATCAAAATACCTCCAGTGCTTTTTCTGTAATGCAGTAACAGACAGACAGATAGATAGACAAACAGACAGACAGATAAACAAAAATTTTAAAAACTATAGATTCGGCCTCTGTATCGTTAATAATGTTTATTTCAATAAGATTTTCCAAAAAATATTTAATGTACAGATTCGCCTTAGTTACAATTTTATTATATGTATAGATTATTTGTAGATAACCAAGATCTAAGGTTTGAATTCTGACTGAATTTGAAAACAAAAAAATTATTACCTTAATAACAAAATTCAATTCGAAATATTACTAAGTAAATACTATTGACTTTTATAGAACCAGGCATTATTAATAATTGATATATAGTTTCCTTTATACCAGAAATGAGATTAGCTTAATTGAGATAAATGTAAAACGTATAAATTAAAACTAAGCTATAGAGTACGATTAAGCTCATTAGACATTTATATTTACATAAAATGTAAGTACGGAAATAGTATCGTATTTAAATTATATATATATATATATATATATATATATATATATATATATTTAAAATACTTTACGTTAGAGGACAATGATTAGACTCGTATTATTTCTGCTCCCTTATTTTTCTTTAAGTTTTATGCAGTGTGCATATTAGATAGCAGATTTTTATATAATTATACGAAAAAATGTATATGTATAGCTCATGTGAGAATCGAATCGACACTATCTTTGTAGACTTTATGACCAGGCTATTTTAACATTATAATAACAATTTTCTACATCAGTTTTAAATATAGAAGGAAAAGTCTATTGCATATCAACAAGTAACCCCCGCAGTGTATTATCATTTTAAATGTTATAGACGATTGAAACTGTCTTCATTGAAGCCGATTACGTACTTAAATGTAATAGATACTACTAGTACATTAGTATAAATTGCAATGGTTATTACAATATGCGATTGTACCAATAAACTTTCATTATAAAATGGCTTAATATTTTATACAAAGATGTAGTAGAAGATTCTTACTGGCTATAGAAACTTAGAAAAACTGGTAAACGTTAAATTATGTGAAAACACATAATTTCTCTTTGCACTACTTGTTTGATATTTAAAATAAAAAAAAATACCTATAAATGTCAAATATTCGCGTAAATCTAAGAAAGTATTAAAAAACTACCTTTTCAGCAATCATGGCCACAGTCTCTCCCGTGACCATGATTGCTGTAAAGCATTCCAAATGTCGGTACCAAAAATCAAAATAAATCTACAAAAAAACTTATATATAAAAAAATTATAACTATTAAACAAGAGAGTATATATAAATGTATGAAAACAATTCATAGATTTATATACAATTGTTAAGACAATTCTTACCAATTTTAGAAATAACTTGCTTTTATTTCTTGGAGACACTGATCGACTTTATTTTCGTATTGAGAGTTTATGAACCGAAAGTTAAAAGCTAATTGTCCACATAAGAATAAATAACTCTGATACGAATAAATATCGTAAGCGAAATTAAAGTTATTTCCACCGTAGTAGATAGTGTCAGTTAGAAACCAATTTCAACTATTTTGCATGTGGTATTGTGGTAGGCACATCGATGGAAAATCCAAGGGGTAATTAATATAACATTATCTCCATTACAAATTTTACTTAAATTTGTTAAGCCTTTTCAATTTGAAAGAGTAATAAACAAACAAGTTTAGTCACAAATTGCATTTATAAGTAAAAATACGTTATTTAAAATAATTGTTCAGTATGGAAAGTACTCTATGAATATCGTGTATGGACCTACCTCAACTATGCATTTAACATGTTGCTGGTAAACGTTTTACCGAGAAGTCCACGTTTATTAATTAATTAACAAAAACTGACTAATTCACATGATTTACGCCTGTATATAAAAATATTTTTTTCTAGTTTCAAGTAATAAAAAACCAGTGATTTTCTTTGAAAATTTAAACTATTTACATAATACAAAAATTATTCATTTATTTTAAATGAAAGAAATGGATATTTATTCAAATATTGATGGATTATTGACACAGTGAGTTCTCATTTTCTACTAAGACTAGTAGCCATATAGTAGGAAATATGGTAATGCACAAACTTGTTACATGCGCCAATACAAGTGTACTCTGTGTTCCTTCATTATCATAGTTGATATGAAGATAATATAATACGTCCTTAAATTTTTTGACATATAAACCCAATATATTAGAACCTCGGGACTCAAACCCATGACCTCAGCATCTTCCACTTGACTAACAAGGTAGTTCTGATTAAAATACATCCAATCGCAAAGCATGATATAAATATAAGTTATTACTCTTTCCCTATCCGGTATGAGAATTCACTAATGTGAATGTGAATAACTTTTTAGAAAAATATATGAAATTGGTACACCAATGCAAATGAAATTTTCCAGTATAACATATTATAGGTATTTTGATACAGTCACAGATGAAATATAGATCTTACTTCAAAGAGTAAGCATTCATTCATAAAAATATATGCAATTTTGTATAAAAAAATAACTCTATTTTTATAGTAAAACTTTTTTAAGCGTAAGCGAGGGGTAATTCAATACATTGGAAAAATGGGTGTCGCAGAAGTGAGAATGAAATTAAAATAAAAAAAATATTTATATAATAATTATTATTTATAAAAATGAATATTTATTACTAATTATTTTATAAAAAATATTATTATATTTATATTTTGATTTGTTTTAATTTAATTGCGGTGTCACTGCGCCAAAAAAGTTTTACTTCAACCGCGCGTAACTGTTACACACACTCATTTTTTTTAAAAAGCTTTCTCTCTTAAAATGAATCCTTAACTGTTCTTTGTTTTCTCATTAAAAATAAAGATTAGTAGACTTATAAAATTTCACTAATAGTAGTAATATCTTTCTATATAATTGATCTGAAATATGTAGTTCATCTTCATTGCTAATAGAATAATGGGAAAATATGAAAGCGTCTTATATGAATGTAATCCAAATACAATAATGTTTATGGAATTTATGTTCCTCAACATATACTTACATCTTACTTATGATTAAATTTTCTTTCCTTTCTTTTAAAAAAATAAGTTTTGCAGTAAAAAACAGTGTTATTATTAATGCGAAATATTTGTGTTGTGTTTGTTGTCAATTTGGGTGATATTTAGTACATAATAAAGCTACGACATGGAAAAATCTTTTGGAAATCATAAAATATATCGGGTTTATTTAAAAGTTTGTCGGGTTCGTTCCTAGGTTGATTCCCTATACAAACTTTCATCCCCATTTTTACCCCCTTAAGGGATGATTTCCGGGATAAAAAATTTCCTATGTCCTTCGCGGGGTCTCAAACTATCTTCTTACCAAATTTCATCTAAATCGGTTGACTAGTTTCGGAGCCTATTCAGTACAAACAAACTAACAAACAAATAATCAAATCTTACCTTTATAATATTAGTATAGATGATAAAAATTATATGGGTGGAAATATCAAAATAATTCTTCCTTCGTTTTTCAAGTAGGTCAAAAACTGCGTTCTAGTAATTTATAAGTGAGTAATGTATTTTTGAAAACAGCAAATCTAATAGATGTACAAGAGAGTTTCTAGCAAATATTTGTTGTATTTTATGGGGGTCGTAAATTTCGTGATTTAATATAATTGGCAAACACTTCGCGTGGGTTTTACGACTGAAATATTGGTAAATAATATCGTTTAATTTTCTTATT